AGGGCCGCAGGCTCTAGCTACATACTCTGCAGTACACGCCGCTTCCTAACGTCCTCCAAGTCTTGCCCGAGGGCTACTATGTGCTTGATTCATCCCTAGTTCCCACTGGTACCCTAGTTCCGTTATAACAATCTGGTTTCCTACTAACTAAAGGTAATTAATCTTTCGTTGAGATTAGGCTAGATCCTAACTCTTAGTAACGCGGGCAGATCTTCTGGAAGAAGTCTGTCCCGTGATAGGCTTTCTTCTTTCGAACTTTCCAGTAGAAAGAAGAGCCACCGCCGGTGTCCAGGGAGTCGTGGCTTCCGTTGTACCTTTAGATGAGCCAGTCGGAACTTCGTCGAGACAAACTGGAAGGTAGTGATTCACCAGACCCATGTGTCACCTGAAAACTTCTCAATCCAAAGCATATCGTCATTTCTGTCACCGTCAACCTCCGCACAGCGGAGGTTGGCACGATCCTTTCCGATCGCAAACTTGATCTGGCCGACATCGACAAAGGCGCCACTGTCTTGTTGAAGGTGGCCACTAACGGTGCCATCGGGTGCGATGCACAAGTAGTTGGCGCGATTGCTCCCAGTCAAATCGGCAGAGCGAACAGCCACTGTCAGATCCAGTTAGTGCATTTCATCATTAATAATCACAATTCAGCCAGCAACATTGGTGATTGCTGAAATCGGGTACCCTGCTTTGAAAATCAGGGGCAGCTTACAATCGAAGACACCGAGGCCCCTCTTATACCCACAAGTCCGACCTGGAGCTGGGTTTGTCAAATGAGTCCATCCCCAACCGCCAGTCTGTGGACATTGGTTAGGGAAAACTTCCACGGCATTGGTCTCAGGGTTGACATAGATGATATCGCAGTCGTCATTCCCGTCCCAGTCCTGCAGGTGCAGATCCCGACGGTCCATGCTCCGTAGTGGTCGAAACATGATGCCGGGGCTTGGATCCCAATATCCCTTTACCTCGGTGTCACCAATAGTGTCCTTGCTACGGTTGATGAAGAGGGTCATTTCCCCTGTTGGCTGTGTCCACACATAGTCAACTCGTCCATCACGATGGCCCACCATATTGCAGTACTTATTGCCATCGGCCACAATCTTGCTGCCGCCTCCGCCAATATTCTTCCACACTCGCGGGAGTTATCCTCCGCCAAGTTCGTGTGCTCCAGATACACGTAGTGCTGCGGTAGGTTTCCGGAGACACTTCTCTGACCGTAGATGCGTGCAAAATGGATTCGGGTACGGAGGTTAGTACCACCCATGCCCATATGCGTCGGACCGGAGGATGCGCCCTGGTAAAACGTCTGACGCCATGCGACGTTGAGGCCATCCCCAGCGTACCCCTTTCTGCAACTCCTGGAGTTTGTCCAGATGTACGTTTTGCCTCCATCATCCACCCACTTGGCAACACTCTCTACCCTATTGCGCCATTATAGTCAGTTTCCCGAGTCCTTTTGTCACAAGGATGACTTACATCTCCATTAAGCATTATTCAGACAAGGTCCACTTACCTCGGCCGTCCCCATCAATGCAAGTTAACCAAATAATTTACTTATTTCATTCACTATTGTGGTAGTAGATACCGTCAGGGTTGCGGCTTTCGCGCCGAGTAAACCCGCCAACCTCCATTCCAATGCGCTCGAACTTGTCGCAAATGGTCGGGCCACTGTTCACTTCGCCAGGTTCAACGAGCTTCCCAGCATCCGCAGCCTTGTTGATGGCTTTGTAGAAGATGTAGCCCATCTTGAGGAAACCGTTGTCCTGCGGGGTCATAAAATGTCAGCTCAGACTCAAGAATGCGACTTTCAACCCATGGACTCACATTCGGGTGAACCTTGATGACCTCCTCCTGGTTGTAGTCGTTCCAGGTCTTGATCCATCCGCTGGCTGGATGTGGAGCTGACGGATCCATATCCACCAGCGGTCTCAGCAGTAGATCTGCCTCTCTCTAGGCCCATCACATTACATGTGCACACACGCATATTAGATAGTGGCATTGAATATTGAAATAACTGCGCGCACTTCGATCCTGTCGTCGGCCATGGGCAGGCTTGAAATTGGTTCAGCTGCCACTAGATTGAGAGTATGGTGTTTTCGTCAAGAAAATCGAAACCTTGCATCAAACGATCCAGTTCGTATCGACTCATTTGCCTTGTTCACATAGATACTACACACATACTAATGTCTTGGCTGAGCAACAGGAGCATCGTGGCCACACCTCCTCTATTGCGATTGCAAGCAGATCACTAGAGCGCCGTGTTCTAGAAAAAGTCCAGCCGCAACAGCCTGGGCTTGGCGCAAACGGCCTAGACGACGGCCATGTCGTGTTGCCTAGGTATGAAAGAATCTGCCGTGATGGCAAAGTTCCTCGACACAGGGGTTTTCTGAGTGCGTATGTCTTGGGAAACCCATCCTTTCGGGGGAAGGGGCCCATTTTGCATGCGGTCCAAACCACAACCCACGCGGGACGTTGGCGCGGCCCGTAGCGGGCGGTTCAGCCCGCCACACTCCTTTAAACCACCAAGCTCGGCATGCGATTCCACTCAACTAGCATGTTTTGGGACACATCCGGCGCATGTTGGGTGCATGTCTTACTTCAGCCGTGTGATCGGAACTCAGGTCCGGTACTATGGACTCAAGGCATGGCCTGGCCAGACCCTGTTGTCACAGCTCTGCCACCTTCCAGTCCAATCATGATGCAAATGAAAGTCAGCATGCTCCAAAATATCCTTCTAGATGTCTCAGCCTTTTTACCCGTTTTCATCAATTTCGTCCCAGCGGCCGGTTCTCAGGGAAGGCTCTGCCCGATTCGTCGCAGATTTGATGGCTGAATACCTCACAAGCGGACGCTCAAGGGCCACCTGTCGGTTGAAGTGCCGAAAACGTCACACAAGCTTTTCAAGTTTGTGATTGAGGCGCATATGGTGAAGATCTTGGAAGAAGGGATGGGCGGATTGGAGCCTTCTGGAGTGACGAAACCGTGAAACCCCCAAACTTCAGAGCCCAGATCGATAAGCCGGTTCACTCTGGGCATCTTCGCCCGAGATAGGGTTTTCTTCGAGATGTAGCGAGAATGGACTGGATGGTCTATGGCTAGCTGTTCCACACGCCACGGTCGCCTTAGCCTTTCCAAGTCCCCTTAGGTGAATGAGGGTGACTTGATCCACGCAGCCAGATCTGTAAGTATTTTGGTTGCTGGTGTCAAAGTGCACCTCATCGTGCTAGGTTTGAGTACCCGCCGGTTTCGACTTTTACCGCAACGCACGCTTGGCCTTTCGATCTCTAGATGGGAAACGCATGTGGACCTGGTTGAACATACAGAGAAGAATACATTGTGTACTTAAATGCCCTCTGCCGCACCTTTGTAGAATAATAACAAGCCAGCTTCTACCAGCAGCCTTCTGTTTAGCTACCACTTATTATCAAGTCTGAACTTCAGAAAATCTTTCCATCATGTCCACTCAAATTATTACCTCAACCACCGAAAATGGAGCATCGGTCACTACTGACCAGCTTCCACAAGACCTCATCAACGCGATGCAAACCCTGTTCGGCAAGCACCAAGGTTACCGCACTAGTATGTAGATCTATCCACCTGACGAAGTTTTAGCCTGACCATTTCCTTCTTCATAGCCCATGCCAAGGGTCTTCTTGTCGAAGGAGTTTTCAAGCCCATGGAGGAGGCAAAGACTCTTTCGACAGCAGCCCATTTCAACAATCCCTCAACTCCAGTCATCGCTCGCTTCTCGGTCGGCGGAGGCCTGCCGAAGATTGCCGACTTCGATCCAAGAGCCACTCCCAAAGGTATTGCGGTTCGATTCCAGGTCGACGAGAACACGCACACCGACCTGATCTCCCATTCATTCAATGGCTTCGCTGTCAGGACCGGAGAAGACTTTTTGGCTTTTCTTAAGGTCTTCACGGCCTTTGGTGTCACCAAGGACGCCCTTGAAAAAGCGCAGAAGAAGGGCGGAGATACCTCCAAGGAACAGGCAGCATTCAGCCAAGCCCAGCAGATGTTCGGCGCATTTCTCGCCATCCATCCATCCGCTGCCCAATTCGTCAAAGGAGCGAAGCCAAACCCCTACAACTATGGTACCTTGAAGTACTACGAAGTTAATACTCACGTCCTCACCAACGCCGATGGCAAAGTCAGCAACGTCCGTTATAAATTGGAGCCCGCAGACGGAGAGCATCTGTACACCGACGACGAATTGGAGAACCTGGCGCCCAGCTACCTAGAGGAGGATCTTCAGCAGAGATTTCCGGAGAAGCCCATCACCTTCAACATCATGGCCCATATTGCGGACCCTAGCGATGTCTTGGATGACGCCACGGTGCCATACAAGAGCACAACATTTGTCTCGGTTGGGACGCTGGAGATCAACAAGGTCTGTGATGACAACGTTGAGAGGCAGCAGCAGATTGCGTTCAGCCCCACTCCAGAGAAGGGCGGCATCCAAGGCATCATGTCTTCCCAGGATCCTCTCATTCAAGTCCGCAGGGGAGTGTACTGGATCAGCGCTGACCAGCGCAGACATGAGAAGCAAACCGAGACTACGGAGTTTGAAGAGGAAAACTAGTTACTGTATGAGTCTATATTTAGCTACCACCTTGGAGTTTATTCTCTGGGCAGAATGAAACGAGAACCAGATTCCAGAAGATGAACAACAATGAAGACATGAGTGACATTGTAAAACAACCCAAGCCTGAATGATACCGATTACACCTCCATAATTCCTCGAGCATTTTCCAAAATTTCCTGCGTGATTTCTTCGACCTTCGCCTCGATATGAACTCGTAGTACTGTTTCTTCGCCTAGATAACCATGTGCAGCTTTGGGGCGGGGAACTGAGCCAAAGCTCGTCATCGCCCTTGGATCCAAGGGATTCAATACGGGAAGCTCCTCCTCCTCCTCATAAAGAGGAACAAAGAGAAGTCCGATGCCATATTCTTCCACAGTCTTTCTGATGGAGTCCTTGTGCCATTGCTCTAGCTCTGGGTGTGTGACGACCATCAAGGCAGGGTTTAACTTCCGCCCGATCTCATCCCCAAGCGGAGTGGATATGACAGGCTTATTGACATATTTTGTCGTGGGAAGGCCCGAAGACATGAAGCTTCTCGCGATGCTGGAAGTTGAGGCGGCATCCGAAGTGGCGGATGCGATAGAACTAAAGGAGCCTCGCCGACTGGTCGATGTCGAGGATGTCCCACCAAAGCCAGAGAAGCCCTCATTGGCAGGTCGGGATTCTTCGGGGAACAAAAGACCCGTTCTGGTCATCTTGGAAAGCCACATGCGCTCATATCGCGCCTCATTCGGTCGGACAGCTTCGGCATCGCCATCAGCTCCCGAGAGACCTCTCCACATGCCCACGGTGGCGGCTTTGGCTGACGTCTCATGCAAGCTGTCGCCTTGGAAGAGCGGACAGGACAGTGCCGCAGCGACTGATTTCGCGATCTGAACTTTGCCTGCCACCGATGTCGAAGCTGTGATGAGAATGATGTACTTCGATGGTTTGGTATTCTCCTGGAGCCCTGTCTCCGGTTTATCGGGGAGACGATGAAGCATCGCCTGCGGCGTCGGTGGCCGGATCGGATAGTCAGTCATCCTGGACGCACCGAAGTTTGGTCGCTGTTTCTGTAGCAGGATGATAAGAAGATCGTTTGGTCGATCTGACGCTCACCCTTTGACGACCGCTACCCCGCTTTGCGTGGCTTCAGGCTACCGGATCCTTCGTGGATATTCGGCTGAATCACATGACACCAAAATCATTCCATCGTTTCTCTCAGAAAGATTTTCGCATGATTGTTTTTACAACAGTTTCACTCAATTACATCTTCCGATATTCGCCTATGTCTTTTGGTATGTGTAGCGCGGCCCTAACGAACTCATCACCCTTAATTCCCGTGGTTTGACGTAGAATGGTTCTGTCGCGTCGAAGTACTCGTTATAGTAGTCTTTTGTCATTTGGTGCTTTTCGTCTCAATCAACAGCCGGAAATTTGAAGTAATGTCAAGTTATCTCACCTTCATAATCCAATCTACGGGCTCGGACCTTGTGGATTTCAGCATCAACTCGGACAAACATCCCTAAAACCACCACGAGTAACTCACCATTTCTCAATCCACGTAATCGTCCCAGGCGAATCATGCACTTGATACATCTCAAAGTGCATCAACTCAGGCTCCCTCTTCAACCTCTCTATCGTCGGCTCGGCGGCTTCTAGGAACCTCGCCACGTCCCTCGGCCGGACGTGGACCGTTACGTGGAAAACCGTCGACATCGTAACTTGAATAACGGGCTGCGATCCGATGAAGTGGATTGTTTTGTCAGACGAAAGACGTCGTCAAAGCTACGGAGCTATGATCCCGGGGACCGCAAGCTTTATGTGGCACGCAATAACAGTCGCCCCGCACGTCCGAGGTCGAGCCCAACGGTAGCTCAGAGGGTGAAACGTCTGATGTCCGACCAGCTCCGAGAGATGTCTTGCCGGAATTCCGGACGTGCACTGGCGTGGACTTGCGTGATGTCATCCCACAATTGTCCACGGATATGAAGCACAGGCACATTGTTCAACCTTTGATTGGCTATGCAGAAGTGTTCGATAGACAGGCTCATGTACAGCTATCAATGCGTTGAGCCTGAAGGAGCAACCTCTGAGTGCGAGACGCGATGCTTCTCAGTGCCATCCTCGCTCCACGTCCTTCGGCCCTCTCGCTTTGAAGCGAGCCACGCAAAGAAGAGTATGATTGTAGCGACAAGCAAAACACCGCAAGCAAGCGCCAGCGTTACAACACAAGGTCCATAATACGTTTTCAATTGGTAGTCGTATCCCGGCTGAGTCCTAGAGCTGCTCCGCACGCCGGAATAGCTCGGTGTGCCCCTTCGTGCCTTTTCGCAGAATGCAAACACGCAGCCCACAGCGGCGATGGTGAAAATCAACGACAGGACGGAGAAGGCGATGGAGACTAGGTTGCAGATTCGATTACGTCTCACAAACGCTGCTACTAGCAGGATAATCGCCGCACCATTCGTGGCCGTCGCAACAGCTGGAAGCACGAACCCTAAGGTCATATCGCGCATGCCACCGGGCTTGAATGTGGGCGGGAAGTCGCTGTTAAGTGGGCGCATGACCAAGGCTGGATCGTAGCCTGATGTGCCGTTGACTCTGACACAGCCTTCCGGGAACAAAACTCTGTATGGTGATTAGTTGCAAAGTCCATCGCCGAGAAGAGAAGCAACCGTCCCAGGGCAATTTACCTTGGTTCGGTGGTAAGCTGACACCAGCCCCAAAGCCCAAAGTGCACCCTGATCTGTGGTTGAAAATTCGAGCTAAACCTTGAACTTGCATCGACGGTGAAGATAGGCAAGCTTGTGTTTGGGATGGAAGCGCAGGTAACAATGAGAAGGGCGAGTGCCACGACCAACGACAAGGCCCCCACCGCAGCCAACAGTCGAGCGCCCATGATGATCGAATGAAGCAAGATGAGTTGGTGGGAAATGCGATGTGTAACGATTTCCGGTATTTTGGATATCCTCCTTCTATATAACGGCCCAGGCTCTCAATAGGGCTGGATCTGTAGGACCCCATCAGAGCTTTATAGACGCCAGATGGATCGACAGGGCAGCTTATCTCGGGCAAGTCCGAGTTCCTAATGCCATATTAGCAGGGCGAGATCTCTGCCACGATGGCTTAGAGCTATTTTGTCGCTCCTTCTTGAAAACGGAGGTGCGTTATGCCTTGTGTCTTAGAATCTGACGTCAAATAAAGCTGGGCGCACATCAGGGTCCAATCAGTTCTGAATCAGAGGATTTAATAGGATTGATCGTCAGCTGTCAGCACCTCGTCTTGGCACTGCTATCACAAAGAAATTCGATTTTGCGCTTGTGCACATCGCCCTCTGCCTCTCAGGCTGGAATGCTGCTTTTCAGCCCTCTGAGAAACCTTCTGGCTGCTGATTGAGTTACCTAGGGCGCGATTTTAGGACCTGCCAAGAAACAAGTACGTCATGGTAAGGTACAGAAAGGCACATGCTTGATAACAATCTTGTAGTTTCTCCCTTCAAGATCAAGGAATTATCTTTAAAACTTTGAATTTCTACATATCCTTTACATGTAAGGTATCACATCAGCCATGGGGTATCTGCATCTCTCTCTCCTACGCCGACATGGCAGGCCGCGTCTGCTCATCAACAACCTCCCTGAAAATCTGGTTCTTCTTGGCCACGTCAGCCGTACCACTGCGGTCGCCGAAAACCTCGTCCATCTGCTCCAAGGTTCGACCAGCAGTCTCGGGAACCAACCACCAGACCCAGACGAAGGACAGCAAGCAGAAGACGGCGAAGAAGATGTAGGCTCCGAAGCCGGTGTTCTGGACGAGGGGAGGCGTGATGAGACCAATGATAAAGTTGTTGATCCAGTCTGAATCATTGTTAGTCTCTTAATGACGGGAGAACATTGTGTCGTGGATAACTTACTGGAGCAAGTGGAAAGGGCAACACCCTTGGCACGGAGAGAAGACGGGAAGACCTCGGAAGGCATGGCCCAGGGGACAGGTCCCCAGGAAGCGCCGAAGCTGAGCATGTAGATCATCAGGAAGGTGACACTGACCCATCCCTGGGTCGTGTAGCTCGGCCAGTCGTGCGAGTAGACACCGACAAGCGCGGCGATAATCGTGTGGGACACAAACATGAGGGCACTGCCGATAAGCAGGATGGAGCGACGTCCGAAGCGGTCCATAGTCCACAGACTGGGAATGACACCAACCAGCTGAACACAGTTGAGGACACCGGACATGATGAGCTGCATGTTGCTGTCGAGTCCCATGGTCGCGAAGAGGGTAGGGGAGTAGTAGATCAACGCGTTGATACCGACGAATTGTTGGAAGAACTATTTTCAGCGTGGTTAGCATCCATTTCTGGTGTTTTGGGCGGCCTGTGGTGGGGAACATACCATCAGCAAAACTCCGACTTGAGTGCGCTTCCAGCAGCCAGCCTTGAAGCAGTCGGTCCACGAGGCAACCTCCAGCTTCAAGCTGCTTCCAAGGTCGTTGTTTCCAACGAGGGTCGGGTGTCGCTCGGCAGACACGGAGGTCTGGAAGCGGGCCTCGGCGATGATCTCCATCCACTCGCGGCGGACTCGGGGGTCGGTGTCGGGCAGCGTGCGGAGCTTGGACAGGTTGCGGAGAGCTTCCTCTTCGCGGCCCTTGGACGCCAGCCATCGGGGAGAGTATGGGAGGAAGACGGCACCGAAGCCGAGGAGGAGGCCGGGAAGGATCTGAATGAGGAAGGGGAGTTGCCACGACCAGTGGTTCGGGATGCTCTTGGTTCCGTCTGCGATGCATCAGTTAGAATGGCTCATGAAGCTGAGTTTCCTGTGGTACTTACAGGTAATCCAGAATGAGATGACAATGCCGACAACGATAGAAAGCTGCTCAAAGACCAAAAGGGAGCCACGAATCTCGGGAGGCGAGATTTCAGAGATGTACAAAGGGACAACCATTGACAACCTAGCCCAGTCAGTTTACGAAGATCCATAGGCAGAGGCTATAAAACTCACATGCCGATGCCCAAACCTCCGATGAAGCGACCACCAACCAGCATGTCGTAGTTGAGCGCAGAAGTCTGGATAGCGGAACCAATGGTGAAGACAACAACAGCAACCATGATGGAGCGCTTGCGAGAGATCCAGTCGGCGATCCAACCCTGGTTAAGCGCGCCGATGAAGGCACCAAGGGTAATCATGGCCGTCATCAGACCCTTCTTGAAGCCGGAGCCGGCGGCGTGATCGGAGACTTCGGGGAATCGCTCGAGGAACTGGTCCATGACCAGTGTGACTGAGATGACACCTTGATCGTAGCCGAAGAGTAGACCTCCAATTGCCGAGAAGGCTGCGCAGAGGGCTACATAGTGGGAGGAGAAGATTCCGCGAAATCCTACGTCGAAAGTGAGCGCGAGTTGAATAGTCTAGCAGGTGATGTTTGCGTACCTGAGGGTCCGTAAGGATCGAGAGCATCATCGGAGAGAACCGTCTCTTGCTGCTCGGTCGAGGCGCCGAACTTGGTCGACGACTTTTCCAAGTCGGAGGCTGATGCCGGTCGATGAGCCATGATGAACCGTTTGTGTACCGTATGAGTCTGGAGAAAGATTTGTTAGTTCGTGACATTTTGGCATGGTGTTGATGTGAAACGGATGCCTGACTAAGCTGAGCAACGCTTAGGAGGCAGGCCGGATTGGGATGAACTCACTTTGGGTAGTGTTGATGTGTAACCCTGCGAGCTGGGACCAAGTAATGGGGAGAATGAAAAAGCTCAATCCAGTCTGTGAACCGGAATCAAGTACGAGGGGGTATCAAAATATGTTGGTGAGAAGGGAGCTTGGGTCGCACTCGACTGAAGTCTCAAGAACGCAACATGATTCACAAAACATGGCACGACGACGTCTTTATAGACTTTTCCGCTGGACCTCGCGTTCTCCCCTTCGGTTTCCCCAAATTCCTTGGCCAGGGCCAGCCCAGCTGGTCCCGAAGACGCCCGTTCCCAATTGCACGGCATCGAAAAAAACAAGACAAGGGCAATGGGCGCCCCACTGCGCTTGGAAAGCCGTAGATACTCGACGGGACCTACGTATGGAATAGCCGCAGCGAGCCAATGGCCACGCGCTAGTTGTCACACACACACACATACACACTCACCTGTCTCTCCCAAAAACAGGCACGCACTCCTCACACATACACGAGCCGCTAAATCGTGGGGGAATTAAAAGAGGGTTTCTGGGGAATTGGAGAAATGGGGAATCCGTGTCAGCGTTCGCTCCGCTTCCAAAACGCGGGCTGTCAGTGGCTGCAGGGGGGTGTGGTCACAGGGGAGGGGGCTAGGAAGCGTCTGTCGCTGGACCTATGGATTCCTCTTATTTTCGGCCATCAGTCCGGGTACCGCGAATTACGACCGGGGTTATGCCCGCGGCAGTTTTGGAGAAAACTTGGCCAAGGCTGGATATTGAGACACAAGTTGTCGTTGCCGGTGGGTTAGCATCACAGCAAGTCTGCTGCCTCTGCAGACAACACGTTGATGGCCGATGACAGCGCCTGACGGACGATCCCTGCTCCGCCCCTGTCCTCGGCAGTGGTCCGTTAATCGAGCGCCCAGAGGTGGGACTATGGAAGGACTTCGAAGATGGAACAGCGGTTCTGTTATGTTCTGTCTCCTGACTGATAACAGACCGTCTTTCCATACACCGCCAGGGGGTGGTTGTTGGAAGATTCTCGCAAGTGAGTTTGGCCGTGGGGGATGGAAGCTTTGGTGGGGAAGGACAGTGTCTTCGAGGAGAGGCTCGAAAAGCTCCGGAATCTCGCCGTGGGACACTCCACAGCAGATGGAGAAACCCCGTCTGGGGTGGTGGTCATTGGTCGCTATGGGTTCCTGTTAACGCGAGTCAGGGGCGGGCCGCCTCTCTACGGCTGTAACGTGCATTAACAGCTTCGTCATAGGCTAGGGGGGTTGCCGTCTACCTAGCCAGCTATTCGTGTGTGTGCTCGCATTGTCGGGGCGGGATGATTTGGTAATTTGGGCCGGTGTAAAGCTCGCTGCGAAATGGGAGCCGGCCTAGGAGCTTTCTTCCTCTTCCACGCGGGGGAGCAAGTCGCCCCGATGCAGCCATTTCCCGTTATCACCAACCGGGAAATGCTTTTATCCCCTCGACCTTCCCTTGGCCACCACAATCGTCTCATTTTCACGAAAGAACAGCCGATTGAAGGTCGCAGACGACGGGGTGAAAGGGTCCAAAATCATGTCGACGACATGTCTGGTACGTGTTTATTCCCACGCGGACTTTTCTTTTAGTCTTCATCGTTACCCCAGATTGTCCACACCCGCACGTTTATTTCTACCCCGGATTTCGTCTAAGCAGCCACAAGATCTGAAAGTCTGGAGTACATATGTCGTCCGGACTACATGTGGCGTCTGGAGTGTCTTCACTTTTGGGGAGCAAAGTTCAATTGCTGACATGACTTTGTGGTTTCGGGGTTTCTGCTCTGTTTTTGCGTCTGGGCTGGGGAGAAAAATGCCTGAATAGAGAATTCCCCAAAAACAAGTCGGGAATTCAGACCTCATTCAGCATCGAAACCCCAAAACCCACTCAGGCGCAACAACAGCCGCAGAGCCCCAAGGACCGCATTGCCAAAACCAGACCTGCAAAAAGCAACACCTCAAATGCGCGTGGAGCACCGATGACGCCGCCGCTCCCGCTGGTCCGCCGTCCTCTCGGGCCGACACCACCACAGCAGCAGCAATCTCATGTATTCGATGCAGAGCGACTGGCAAGGACTGCGTCCCGGCCCCCGCTATTCGGTTCAAGCACTCTACCGAGTAAGGCGGAGCTCCCTCTTGTCTTTTCCTGCGCCGTGACCGACATGAGAAGTTTCCTGTTGCAGCCGGCCCTTGCCAATGGACAAGGACCACGAGAATGACACGCCCACCGGGGGCCCGGTTCCGCGATGGACCCGGTTTCTGTCGTTATCGTCGGCCTCTCGTCACGAGGACCAAGGAGCCAGCAGCAGCAGCCAGCTGAAGTGCGTTATTTTTCACTGCGGAACAAACCGCTGATCACTTTTGTGTTATCGTCAGGACGCCGAGTGCATCGGAGACTTGGGTGCGCTACCCGCGGCGTTGTAAGTGCTTGCCCGCAACATTTTCGTGCTTTTCGTCTATTGTGCTTCTTGGCGTGTATGCTTGAGAATGGAGACCCCGATAAGCCTCATCCTCATCTTGTTTTCGTTTTCGATCATCGATGTTTAGTGTGTGTGACTTGTAAAGATTGACAAACGTTGTGTGCCTGGCAGTGCATTTCGTCGATGAGACGCAGGAACTCGAGGCCCTCTATTGGTCCGAGGATGGAAGCCCGCCCTTCATGAGGCAGGTCGACGCGCCGGCTCAGGAGCAGGCAGTCGTGCAAGCAACCTCGGAGAGGTCGAGGAATTCGTCAGTTCAGCAAACTCTCCATGAGCATCTCCCAACCGCCGCCATTAGTCCGTTCAACCAGCCTGCTTCAACTCCAGCCACGAGTTGGAAGGAGGTGCAAACACCAACGCCGTTGCCTACCGTCTACAGCTCAATACCGCCAGGCTCAACACTTGGGCTGGCCAACTATGAACATCATGGGGACGTTGTGTTTCCCTTTACGCAGCCCCATGAGGTGAGGTTGATGAAGTACTACCTCGAATACATGTGCACCTGGGTTAGTCTTCATCCCTTCGTGATCAATATCTATGCATCATGGTCTAAGAGAGATACAGTTCGACCTCTGTGACGCCCGCCGCCACTTCGCCATCGTCGTCCCTCAGAGAGCAATAACCTGCCCGACCCTCCTCAACGCAATCTTCGCCCTCTCCTCCCGCCACCTCAGCCTGCACGACCAATATGACCCCTACGCCTCGGACCGCTACCACCAGGAATGCCTCAAGCACCTCACCACGATCTCCAACGACTCCTCGGCCCTCACAAACGACGACCTCCTCGCCGCCACCATCCTCCTCCGCACCCTCGAGGAGCTCGACGTGCCCCTCATCGGGACCGACCACGAAGGCCACCTGCTCGGCATCCAGCTCTTCATGAACACGCAGAACGGCGGGCTGCCGCGCCAGAGTCAGCTGCGCCAGGCCTGTTTCTGGGTCGGCCTGCGCCAGGAGATCACCATGGCGTTCGCCACGCAGCGGCCCATCATGGTCAAGCTCGACCACCTCTTCATCGACCGCTCGTTCTCGCCTGCCGACGACGACTGCTGGGCGAACCGCATCGTGGTGCACTGCGCCGAGGTGGTGCAGTTCTGCTTCGGCGAGGTGGACAACCGCAAGAGCGAGTACCAGCGGCTGGTGGAGTACGACCACAACTGGTTGAGGGCGCGGCCGCTGTCGTGGTTGCCGATTGCGTATAGCGAACCGGACCCGGCGGCGGACCAGGCGTTTCCGCGCATCTTCTATATCAACCATGCTGTTGGTAAGTTGGCCGCGTGTTCCAGTGTTGCTGCAAATACTGACGTTAGAAGTTATTGGCAACGTTCATGGCACTCTTGCACGAGCACTCCTCATGTGTCACGATGAAAGTATTCCACGCATAGGACCAGCACGCAGACTGGCGAGGCAAAAGTTGGATGTAAGTCGTCAACCCTCTAAACTGTCTAATTCATGTGCTTTGCTAACTAGCCGGCGCAGAACGACATTAGGACGCAAATACGAGAACTCTGCGGCACCGCTCTCTCCAACAAGGACACAATCCCAGCCATGTTCACGGCCTGCATGGGCGTGACCGCGTGCGGCGACCGGTTCACCGACCACGTGGAGCAAAGGGCTCTTCTCGACATCTTGGTCAAGACAGATGTGCACCACATGTGGCCGACGGCGTCGGCGCAGTCGCACCTGAAGCGGGCGTGGGGTTGGGAAGATGATTCATGAGACTCTGGCTGTTTTCGAAAAATATTGAGGGCATGCTGTGAATTGTAGAATATCCACTTTGATGAGCGAGGGTTTTCAATAGTCCGCTACGAATTACCGGGACTCATTAACAAACTGAAAAATGCATTAAGAATTACTAGTCTGCTTGATTCCATTTCCGTTGCATCTCGGCAGGTGACTGGCCAATTCCATCAAACTTCGGCAAACTTGCCAACTTACACCCCTTGACGAATGATCAGGCAGACAATGTCATACACAGCATATTTCCCGACAACCAACCCGAGTGCGAAAAAGGACTTCTGCTCAGCCAAGCTAACCTCAACTTCTCCAAACCGCAATTACCCCAGAAACTTGTTAGCTCCCCGCGGCCCCCGGGACCCCAGATTGTGAGGGGAAAAGAAGGGGAACAGGCTGGGGGTTGGGGGTGGGCGTGGATGAGTTCCATGAATGCGGAGAAACCGAGATCACAGATATTGGCATCTTGACACCATGCACGCTGAACCCCATAAAGTTTCATCGCATTTGGGCCGAATCTCTGATTAGTCTTCGGCCCAGCCGTTGGGGTAGAGGCTGCCAAACGATTGCGTCGGCAACCACCAAACCCCGCGGCCCCCATTCGGACAGAATTTCCCTCTCATCTGAATCCAGTATCGGGGCAACTTTCCCCGATCAGGGCAGCATCCAATCCGCATCGTCGCTTTGCACATCCCCAGATCCCCCACCTGCTCTATCCAGAAAACACGGCAACTATCCCCTACAAAAATCAGGGTCCGTCGTCTTACACCAAGTTTCGCCTCAATGCCAATGGCCATTTTAAGCCTCTCTCCAACTCCACGTCTCCAACATCCCCAACCTGCCGGCGCGTCGCTTCTGTTGAAACCGCGTCTTGCCAAGTGGGCTTTTTTCATGGTCTTCAACATGGCGCTTCTACTTTCCATAGGCCAATTCCTGGGTTTCCCTATCCACGAGGATGGCTTAATTGGACAGGCGGTCGGGCTCGCCTGCTGGCGTCAGTGGCGTCTGCCCCACGGGTAAGACATCATGTCGGGATCCGAATCCCGACATGGATGCGATGAAGAAAAATAGAAAAAAAATATGTCGTGGCGCGTGAAAAAGAATCGGTGAGGCCTGCATGAAAGGCGGCGGTATATAATCCGCCCAGCCGCCTTCCTCTGCATCCTCCCGAAATGTCTTAGCAGCTCCTCTCGTTCATCCCCATTCCAGTGATACCCCCGCGGTAGCCCAACACCTCCGGCTTCACCTCGACGACCGCCTCCATTCCACGACGCCCTCACCTCCCATCACCCCAGCCGCCATCCCTCGCTCGGCCAGTCAATTCAGATCCAGAAGCACACGCAAAATGTCAACACAAAAGCTCCACGTAGGCGTCGCAGGCCTCGGCCGCATGGGCAAGCGCCACGCCCTCAACTTCCACCAGAACGTCCCCCGCGCATCCCTCGTCGCCGTCTCCTCCCCCGACGCCGCCGAGCGCCAATGGGCCTCCGAGACCCTCGCCCCGCACGGCGTCGCCGTCTACGAGTCCTACGACGACATGCTCGCCCACGCCGGTCTCCAGGCCGTCTGCGTCGCCTCCGCTACCGCCGTCCACGCCGAGCAGGCCATCAAGGCCATCGACGCCGGCAAGCACGTCCTCTGCGAGAAGCCCCTCGGCACGACTGTTGAGGTGGTGAGTTGACCCCGTCCATCCTTTCCCCAGAAAATCCCCGAGACACCATGAACACATACTAACACCACGCAAAGTCCCAAACAGTAGTCGACGCATCCGTCCGCCGCCCCGAGCTCAAGGTAATGTGCGGCTTCTCCCGCCGCTTCGACGCCTCCTACCGCGACGCCCACGCAAAGATGTCCGCCGGCCTCATCGGCCGCCCCGCCGTCCTGCGCTCCCAGACCTGCGACGTCCTCGACCCCACGGGCTTCTTCGTCGCCTACGCCCAGTTCTCCGGCGGCATCTTCGTCGACTGCTCCATCCACGACATCGACCTCGCCCTGTGGTTCTTCGACGAGGACAAGAGCAAGGTGAAATCCGTCCACGCCGTCGGCATCACCGCCGTCGAGCCCGACCTGCGCAAGCACAACGACCGCGACAACGCCGTCGGCACCGTCGAGTTCTACGACGGCCGCATTGCCTACCTGTATGCCTCGCGCATGATGGCCGCCGGCCAGGAGGATTCGACTGAGATTATTGGCACCAAGGGCAAGCTGACGGTGAACCTGCTGCCCGCCGAGAACCACGTCAAGATCTACCAGCCCGGCGGCATCAGGCAAGAGCTGCCCCAGACCTACTGGGACCGCTTCAGGGCGGCGTTCACGACGGAGGCGATTGAGTTCACAGAGAGCGTGTTGGAGGACAAGCCCGTGCCGGTGAAGCTGACGTCTGCTGTTGCCGCAGTCAAGATCGGCGCTGCATTACAAGAGTCCATGATCACGGGGCAGAAGATCTGGTTCGACGAGAGTGGAAACCGGACAGAGAAGGCTCAGTTGTAATCTATTCATATCAAAGCCTTAGACGACGGCCATGTGCAATAAAACCCTGGAAATGGGTGCCTTGTCCTTGCCGCCAACACTTGATCATGCCAAATCCTTCAGTCGTGCGTAACCATAGATATGCGTGGTCTAAAACTTCTCAAAACATCGAATCGGGCTTGATACCCTCTTCTACACATTGTACATCTCTCAAGACTGAACGCAGTCAATGTTGGGTGCATCCGCGTCATACATCTTCTTGGAGGTCTTCGCGCGCTCTGCAATTGTATTAGCAATCTGGACACAGAACACAGGCAAGGGGAACAGAAGTCTAGTGTGGTGAAGGGGTCTACGCACCACCAGAAAACAACTTGTTTCACAGACTTACTTGTAGTCTTGACATTGAGCCTTCCTCTTTCCACCTCTCGGGCCGTTTTGTGATCCAACTTGGGGCCGGTCTCAGCCGAGGCTGGGGCGGAACTGGGGGTAAAGACCGGAGCCGGAGCAAAGGCTGAAGCAGGAGCGAAAGCCGGAGAAGGGGCTGGAGACGGTGCCCGGACGGGCTCTTTGCGGGGAGCTGGACGCTGGAGGGGCTCCTTGTGGGAGGAGGGCATGGTTCGGGACCCAGTAGCGGGGTTGGTATCGGCGGTTTGCTTCAACTCCGGTTGCTCGTTGTGGACTTCGTCGGGCACAAGAGAATCCTGCTGGATGGAAGTGCTACCAAAGGCATAGCTACCACTGCATCTGGCAGGCAACTCCAGGGTGTCATCTTGTTGGATGGACGAGCTGCTAAGGTGATACCCTCCACTTCGCCGATCAGATGTGGCTGGCTTTGAATGAACGTCGCTGGTGCCAGCACCTCGGGTGTGGACTGCCAGGGAAACCTCGAAGCTGCCAGGCACATGGAATCTCGTCTTAGTCTTGTGGGCTATTTGGTCAGGAGGCGTCATCTTGCTCTGAATAGAAGGTCGCGAGGGGATGACACGACGCTTCTCCCGGATCTCGCCTTCCTCAGATTCCTCTTCGCAGGATTCGAATGCCTCCGAACTATCATCGGACGGCGAAGCCTTTCCGCTGGGTGTGGGGAAAGGCGTGGGAGCCCAAGATGACTTCACTGCGGGGGTCGGCTTGGTGGCAGGTCCTCGCTTGATGGAGAGGGCAGGGAACTTGGGAGGGAACGCTCGCTGGTCTTTGAAGGCGAAGTTGAAAGCGCCGGCATCTTTCAATGATGAAACAAGTTAGCTGTGGTCTTCTTGAAGCTTTTACTTCGTCTCTGAGTGTGATAGGCTCAAATTTGGGGGAAAAGAAAAACAGGTCTGTACATACCCATGCCGCGGCTGAATCGTGGGCCAGCAAAGGGAGTAGATCCAGCATCAGCGGTCCGCATCGAGTCGGGGCCAATAGCTTCGGCCGCACTAGGAGGACTCTCCAACTTGATTTTCTTGGACGTATCCGGAGTCTGCGGGCCCTCGCTTGCGCTCTCCCGGGCAGGTTTCTTCGACACCGGGGTATCGAAGGTTGGGAAGTCGATGGCGGAGTCGTTGACTCTATGCTGCTTCTCGGCATCGGCTAACTTCTTCTCGGACTCCTCAGTCACTCGCGTGATCTCGCTAACGGCAGTCGACAGGGTGTCGAAGCAGAACTTGGGGTCGTCTTGGAGAAGATTGCAGAAGTCTTGCTGCTGGAGGAGCATGCACAGGTGAGGTCCAATGGCCTTCTGGAACTCCTGCTTCAGGTCATCGTGGGCGTCGCTGGCCTCGTCGACGATGATGTCGGCCACCGCCATGAAGTCTTCCAACATGTCGACGCGCTTATCGAGGATATCGCTCAGGTCACGGCCGACACGAGAAGCGAGTTCAGCCGTGAGGTCGGACACGCCAAGAGACGCAGCAACGTCGTGGATCGTGAGGAGATCGAAAATCTCGGGCTTGTGGGGCAGCGCATCATCTGAAAGCTGTCAGCTGGAGTTGACAGAAAGAGCGGCGCAGGATCAGTGAGTTTACCTCCGACGTACAACCACTTGAGAACGGTTTCCAGTGCAGGGGCTTTGAAGAGGTGGTCCTTCAACGCGAATTTCTTGACGCGGTCGTCCTGGTAGAACACGTGGTTAACAAAGCTCCTGTCGAATGCAATATGCAAAAACAAATGGGAAGTGGAGAGGAAGTTTGAGTTACCATTGCGGCCTTCTGATCGACGAGAAAGTCTACCATCTCGCTCCTTCCTCGGATGACCTTGTCGTGCAGCTCCCACTTTTCTTCGCCCATCATGAGCCAGATGTCGGCATCCTTTTTGGTCTCCCAGAGGCTACGAGACTGTCAGCAGGTGCGAAGAAAAAACTCCCGATTGATTTCTTACGAGGCGATGTCGGGATCAGCCATGGCGAAAGACTGGGGAGTTGATCGCAAGTTGGTGTGGTTGTCGTCTTTTGGCATGTGTTGGTGTGCCTTGGAGGGATGGGGAGAAGGAGAAGATATTTCCAAGTTGAAAACTCGGTACGAGGCAGAAAATACAGAAGAGGTGGTGGGGTGTAGAAGGTAGAAGAGTTAGCGTGAGATGTCGTCAGGAGGAGGCAGGTGAGGAACCCAAAGGAAGGTAGGTGCTTGCCTCGAGTGAGGAAGGAGCAGAATAAGCTGTGCCTTCTCTCTCGCACAAAGAAGAGTCGAGGTCAAAGCTTGTTACGTTCGCAAGTTCACCTAATCAGACAGGCATCTTTGTTGCTTGATCGTTCTGGGTTGTGGTCAGGTGAGGTGAGCGGTCCACGCTTCACCCAGGTGAGCTGGCCTGAGGCTGATGCCCCCCTCCAACCACCCGCCCCTAGCTATTTCTTTGAGGTTGCGGTAGGATCTGTCAACCAGTTACAACTAAGAGATGGGCCGAATGGTCTAGTTGGTAAAGCATCTCTAACAACTTAAAACCAATACCACCCAATGAGTTTCTGGTTACTCTGTTGAGGGTAGGGGCGCTCAGTTCGAATCTTGCAAAAAACAATAAGCAAGGAGGGCCTAGTGGATGACCATCGCGTTATCTTTTGACTTTTTGGCCATCTGAATATGTTGATTTTTTAATTTTCTTTTTCTCGTTGAAGTTTCGCAAGGCCTCTCACGATAACTTCCCCAGACTGCCATCCTGACCTGCATGATCAACTGTTGCCGCTCACACTGGCAAAACCTGCCGCCGCAGGAACAGTCGGCATCCGTCAGTGGGACATAGAACAAGACCCACGTTCTGCTTTTCTGCCCCAATCTTCTCATTGATCTCGCCGTGAGCCGGTTCGATGAGATCAAAAGTCTGTAAAAACGCCACGATAACAAAGGAAAGCTCCTTCAAAGCAATCTGCTCTCCCAGACGCCTGCGAGGGCCTCCGTTGAATGAGAAAAATGCATTCGCCTCCGTCGTCACAGGGTCATCCCAGCGCTCCGGACGGAAGTCACTCGCATCTAGCCCGTATACTTCCTTCCTCCGAGACGTCACATACGGTGATATGACCACTACTTCTCCCTTCCTGATGAGCAGCGGGCTGAGTCCATCTTCCCCGCCGCCAACGGGGAGTATGTTTGTCTTGGTGGCTTGGCGAGTATTCAGAGGAATCGCAGGGTAGAGCCGAAGACCTACCATCATGTTAGATGATCATGACAAAGGCAATATGTGCCTCGGACGAAAACAGGTACTTGCATTCTTTTATGACCTGAGCAAGGTACGGCATTTCTCGCAGATCTGCCTTGGACGCCAGCGCTCTTTGGCCCATCACTGTGCCGACTTCGTTGCGTAACTTATCGATGACTCGTGGTGTGCGAGCAAGCAGTCGGCTATGGCTAAGAGTTAGCATCTACCTTAATAACAATCACTCAAGGACTAACAATGTCCAAATAAGCGCCGACGCTGTTGAGTCTCTGCCAGCCAGAAGTACGTTGATGACATGGTCGCGGATGCTGTCGTCGCTCATTCCATCTTGGGCCATCTGTTCAATAAGGCTGTCGGCTGCTCGGCCTCCAACAATAGCCGGCTTCAAGGATCGAACTTCAGCAAGGAAATCCTCCACATAATGCCGGACTTCGATGCAGGCAGTCCGAAACCTGGCTGGGTTGTACATGTTATGGAAGGGAACGCAACGGAACCGTCTGACGAGGCCTTCCGAGGCGATGCAGAAGTTCTCTGCAAATTTCCGGTTGCGGGTGCTTTCCGGGGTGTTCTCGCCGAACTTCAAGGTGTAAGTCGACCTGCCCAGAAGCCGGGCCGAGGAGTTGTCCATGAAAAGATCGAATATGAGAGGTTGGAGGTCGACGACGCCGCCTTGCTCGGAAAGTGGAAGACGAGCCAGAAAATTTTCAACGTGCTCGGCCAGCTTCTCAAGGCCATAAGTGGACGACGAGGAGAAGAGGTGCTTCCTCAACATAGCTCGCGACTTCTTCCCAGCAGCACCTTCTTGGACAAAAATACCATCACCAATAAGCTGGTGAAAGATTTCTGCCCTGGGACCGAAAGAATAGTCTGGTGTGTCGTCAGCCATGATTCAAGCGCATTCAGTTATTATGTCGTATGTATTCACCAGAAAAGTTGGAGGACAGAATCGCTTCGATGTTCTGAGGGGCAAGGATATTATGGCTGCGAGGCCCGAAAAGAAAGAATTGTGAGATGACGCCCTGTGGAAACTCTTCTGCGATTTCAAAAATAGTTTTGAGTAACTGCTTGCGTTCATCAGCTTGCCACAGTTGCCACATGCGATCAATACCCAGAGGCCAACGATTGTATATCATGATTGGTGGTTTGCAACCATGTTTATAACCGTAAGCCGTGTCTCTCTGGAAGTGGGCAGAGTTTTCAGTCAGCATTTCAAACGTCGAACGTGAATATTGGGCGTGGATAATGCTTACTGAGTATTCGGAATACCACTGCAGGGTTTTATAGAAAGTAAATAGAAACAGAAAGAGACAAAGAAGACATAAGTAAACATATCCCGAGCCGAATTGTTGCCTCAGGGGCAAGTAATAATACGCCATAGGCTGAGTGAGTTCCATGATGGAATTTGAGAGTGCGAGAGAAACAAGATAGAAAAGTAAGGAGTGGACAAAAGAATCGTACTACAGATCGGAGTTGGAAATGACACCTCGGTCGAAAACGAGCGAGGTGACTTCCAAAGCCCAACTTATACCCTTATCACAAATAGGATATCGTTGGATTCAAGCTTTCAAGACGTACCAAGATATGCTTCGAAAACTCACTGCATCTATTCTAACCAGGCGCCAGAGACGTTCTTCGCATCGTCTGAGCCCACAATTTAGGTCGAAACACTGCATTCCGGTGAATATCACGTCAGATGTTAGTTAACACATGAATTGTGTAGAATTCACCTGTTTAGACAGTCTTGGGGCACAGCTGATGGTCGGATGTTCCCTCCTCATTTCACTGAGACAACATTGTGAATGCGCCCACTAGGTATTTTTGCCATGATTGTCCTTGATGTTAGATGTGGGATAGAGCGAGGCCGTTCGTAATTCAGCCACCAACCTAGTAATAATTGGCCCAGCATGCCGCAATCTGACGGACATGGTCCCAGCTGACACGCCCGGATCCCCAACGCCGAATCTGGCGTTATTGCCGCCACTAAAACGGGAGGACTTGAGCGGCTGGGATCTACGAGAGGACGGAGGCAGAGAGGACGGAGGCAGCACGTGGCTTTGCGGTTAGGCAGCTCTCTAAACATGTCAGCAAGTCAGAGGAACCGCGACCTTCAGGATTTAGTGGGTAGTCCGAGTTGAATCAAAAGGCATCAAGCGCTAAGCTAGTGTGCCGTTGCAACTCGGAATACTTACCTCGAGTAAGCGTGGCGCTTCACTGTGCGCCCGCGACTAAAATGAGGGATGGCAGCGCTTCCACCAAGCTTGCGAGAGAGCTTACTGGCTGCTCGGACGCTTTGGGTAAGGTAAGAAATATTCACCCTCTTGACAACAAGTAATTCTAGCTTCAGCGACGAAAACTTCACCAATGATACTGGCAGCCATGTGACTGCGCCATTTACGAAAAACTTGAGACAAGCCTCGTCAAGAATTTCCGCCGGGTCTTACGTAGGAACGTGCACTGCTAAGAAGGCGTGCCTTGAGTGTTGCTGGATGTCGGCCTCGACTCGAACTAACTATGGCTACTTTGCCTGCTTGAAGGAAGATACACTTGGTGAATGCTCTCCCCTCTCAATGAGTCTCCCAACTTGGCTGAACTATCCTGTCTCCTTCTTCTCTTAGCGCATTGCTGTCGCAGCCGACAGTCGATCCAACTGGATTCTGGGACCAGATTATACAACGGTTTAGACGCTTCTCCCATAACATCATCTTCATCATCTTCATGCCCAGACTGGGATGAAACTGGTCTACATTGAGAGCATCATGGGCTCCTCATCAGTCTCCGAATCTGCAACACAGGTTCCTTCGTCACACTCAAATGAATCACTCGGATGGCAATCTGGCCGTGAAGAGATTACCATACACGCCACAGATGATTCGATAACCCAGCCACCATCATCCGATATACTGACGGCGAAAGAAGACGAGAGAAGCTCTGCACGGCTATTACCTCACGAGTCCGACATCCTAAACCGGCAGGTCAACCTTCCTAGGATCCCCTACAGCGCCAGAGTCCTGTATCGCTATGCGTCTACGAGCGACAAGATCATCCTCGCCGCCTCAGTTTTGTTGGCCGTGATAGCAGGCGCAGCCCTGCCGCTCATGACTCTCGTGTTCGGCGGGCTCCAGAAGGAGTTCATGGACTTTTTTGCCGGCCGCGTGGCGCGGGACGACTTCATGGATCGCATCGACTACTACATTCAATACTTTGCGTACCTGGGCATTGTCGAGTTCACCACGCAGTACTTGACGACGGTTGGATTTATGTACACGGGCGAACACATCGCCGGAAGCATTCGAGAGAAATATCTCGAGAGCTGCGTGCGTCAAAACATCGGCTTTTTCGACGTGGTCGGCACCGGCGAGCTGTCGACACAAATCGCTTCGCACACCAACCTGATCCAGGACGGCATCTCAGAGAAGGTCTCGATCACTCTTGTGGCTGTGTCGACCTTTGTCTCGGCCTTCGTCATCAGCTTTACAAAGAACTGGAAGCTTACTTTGATGCTGTTTTCTCTTGTCATGGGCATCATCGTCGACATCGCCATAGGCTCCCGTGTAGCCAGTCGGTTCACCGGACAGAGTATGCAGGCATATGCAAAAGGTGGCAACGTCGCGGATGCTGTCTTCAGGTCAATTCAAAGCACGGTGGCATTCGGGGCCCAAGAGCGTATGAGCAAGCAATATTACGGCCACTTGATGAAATCAGAAGCGCTCGCCTGTCGCGGTAGGAGCATCATCGCCATGTCAGTTGCTGGGATGATGTTTCTCCTGTACCTCACGTACGGCCTGGCTTTCTGGCAAGGAAGCTCCTTTCTTGTCCGTGGAAATGTAGCAATACAAGACGTTCTCACCATCATAATGTCGGTTGTTTTGGGAGCCTTCAGTCTGGGGAGTGTTGCGTCCAATCTCCAGGCTTTCACAGCCGCCGCCGCTGCCGCTTCAGACATCTTCAACATCATTGATCGTCAATCGCCTATAGACCCGTGCTCGGATGAGGGCAACATGCTGGACATGGTGAAGGGAACGATTCGACTCACCGGTATCAAACACGTCTATCCTTCTCGTCCAGACGTCATCGTTCTCGACGGCTTCGACTTGACGATTCCTGCAGGCAAAACCACTGCTATTGTCGGAGCTTCCGGATCGGGCAAAAGTAGCATCATTGGTTTGATTGAGAAGTTCTATCAGCCAGTCTCTGGGGCCATTTTTCTTGATGACCATGATATAAATGGACTCAATTTGAAGTGGTTGCGTAGACAGATGGCTCTGGTTGGGCAGGAACCGATACTGTTCCGCGCCACCATTTTTGAGAACATCTGCGCTGGTTTACAGGGGACAGAGCATGAAAACTCAAACAGGGACCAAAAGCGTCAACTCGTCATTCAGGCTGCGCAAAGGTCCAATGCCTACGGCTTCATTTCTACCCTGCCAGATGGTCTCGACACTATGGTCGGCGAGAAGGGCTCCCAGTTGTCAGGTGGCCAGAAGCAGCGCATCGCCATTGCCAGAGCAATTATTTCGGACCCTAAGAGTTAGTCAAATGATTCCCCCGCAACCTCATCGCTTGAATCACTTGCATGTACTGACATCACGTCAGTTCTCCTACTAGACGAAGCTACCTCAGCCCTGGACTCGGAATCGGAAAGCGTAGTCCAGGCAGCTCTCCGGGCCGCATCTGAAGGCCGCACAACTATCACCATCGCGCACCGTCTCTCTACGGTCAAGCACGCAGACAACATCATCCTCATGGCAGACGGCAAAATCATCGAACAGGGCACTCACGACGCATTGATAGGCCGTAAAGGCGCCTATCACAGGCTGTCAACAGCACAGGATCCGTCTTTGGTCAACAAAATGATTCTCCGGGAACAGTCCCATGCCAGTTTAAAAGATCCGGCGGACACGAAGGGTGGAACTTTGGAATCTGAGCCACTGCCTCGCCGAGGCTCCTTTCGAAACGCAGGTTCAGATTCAGGTTTGCAACCACAGCCCATCGCACAACTAAGAGCTCAGGAACAACAAAGCTATAGCATTTGGTCGCTGCTCAAGTTCATCGCCTCCTTCAACAAACCTGAACTGGGAATCATGTTCGTGGGCCTGGTTTTCGCTGCTATTTGCGGAGGGGGAAACCCCACACAAGCCGGTACGTCGTTGCGCCCAGTAGTTGAGGCTCACGTCGCATGTGTCTGACTTTGAACAGTATTCTTCGCCAAACAACTCTCCATTCTCTCTCAATATGGAGTATCTGCCGACGACGCTGAAACCAAACACAACTCGGACTACTGGAGCGAACTATACCTGATGCTCGCATTGGTGCAGTTCGTCGCGTTCGCCGCGCAGGGCCTCATCTTTGCAAGCACCTCCGAACGCCTTATTCGTCGTGCGCGCGACACAGCTTTCCGAATGCTCATGAAACAGGACATCTCGTTTTTTGATCAAGATCACAATAATTCCGGTGCACTGACGCACCTTCTCTCAACGGGTGCGAATCAGCTCGCTGGCCTGAGCGGCATCACCTTGGGCACGCTGGTCATGGTCATCACAACTTTGATCACGGCGATCACCGTATCAGCCGCTATTGGGTGGCGCCTGGCGCTCGTTTGTACCGCAACTGTGCCCATACTGTTGGCCTGTGGCTTCCTTCGCTTCTGGCTCCTGTCTCGTTTCCAACAGCGAGCGAAGGCCGCGTACGAATCATCGGCATCATTCGCGTCTGAAGCAGTCGCTTCCATGCGGACAGTCGCGTCACTTTCCATCGAATCGGATATCATCAGTCGCTACAGAGAGGCTCTGAAGACGCAACAGCGACAAAGCTTGATCTCCGTGGCAGAATCAAGTCTTCTATATGCCGCTGCCCAATCCCTTTTATTCCTATGCTTTGCCTTGGGATACTGGTATGGAGCCTCTCTGATTGCTGGACACGACTATACCCTGTTTCAGTTCTTTCTTTGCTTCATGGCAGTTGCATACGGAGCTCAGTCAGCGGGCGTTATCTTTTCTTTCGCCCCGGATATGGGGAAAGCCTACCAGGCTGCGTCTGAATTCAAAAAGCTGCACGATCGCCAACCCGCCGTCGACGCGACTTCCTCCGGCGGCAGGCATATAGAGACGGTCCAGGGCAACATTGAATTCGTCAACGTTCACTTTCACTATCCTTCTCGGCCCGAAGTGTCAGTTCTTCGTGGATTGGACATATCCATCCGAGCGGGTCAATATGTTGCTTTCGTTGGCTCCTCTGGGTGTGGTAAAAGCACCACCATCTCCCTCCTCGAGAGGTTCTACGATGCTACAAGCGGGGCTATATACGTGGACGGCCAGAACATCCACACCTTGAACGTGGCAAACTGGCGTTCCCACGTTGCTCTCGTTAGCCAAGAACCTACCTTGTACCCGGGAACAATACGAGACAACATCCAGATGGGAAGTCTCAAAGACGCCGTTTCCGAGGACGCTATCGAGCTTGCCTGTCGCGAAGCCAACATTCACGACTTTGTTCTGTCTTTACCTGAAGGGCTGAATACCCCGGTTGGCGATAACGGCGTTTTGCTATCGGGTGGTCAGAAGCAAAGGATCGCGATTGCTCGGGCGTTGATTAGGCGCCCCAAAGTCTTACTGCTGGATGAGGCAACATCGGCTTTAGATCAAGACTCAGAACGCACAGTGCAGTTGGCATTGGATAACGCAGCGCGGAGCCGCACAACGATTGTTGTTGCTCATCGTCTTAGTACCATCGCAAAGGCAGACGTAATTTACGTCTTCGATGAAGGAAGTGTGGTAGAGCGTGGTTCACACGATGAATTAATGGCCGCGAATGGGCGATAAGTCAACGTACCCACTTCCGAAACACCCCCCCATGCGAAACAATAAAAATGCCTCACCGCCACCACCAACCTCCCACTTTCACTAACAACAATATTTTGAATCCTCATCCAAATAACCTCATCTTTCGCACAGCAGT